CAATGCTGATAAGGGTAGGGGTGGGTGTATGTAGTTCATTCACAAAAAATATTCACGACCGTGCTGTGAATTCTATTTCCTGACATGCTCAAATACCAGCTACATGGCAAGCCCTGTGCACTGAGTCACCATAATTGGGTCTCGGGAGCAAAGAGGAGCCCAGCTACACTGTCACCAGGCCACTCGCCTCCATCAAAGCCTGAGAGCAGGTTAATGACCTGCGGGAAGCCAGCCAAGAGCTCCTGCCCCCGAGACTGAGCCGGGTGTAATTCCCTCAGTTCAGCTCTATCTTCTCTCACCTCTTGTTATATTTTAAGTGAAAACACTTCCTGGAAGACTCAATTTTCCACTGGTTCTGCTTTCACCAGCCACCTACCAGACAGTGGGGTGGGTCTCCGGACTCCGAGTCCTTCTGCTTTTGTGGTTTTACTATGATCTCGTGAAGGCTGGGGGAAGTTTTGAAATGAACAAAAGTCTTGGACACCTGTATAACTTTCATCCTCTCTCTAGGATCATAGGGTTTCCAGAGGCAAGCTATTGTGGAAGTGGATGCCACTCCTGCTTCCAAGCTTGTTTTAACTGGGGAGCCCCACTAAACACTGTCCTGTCCACCACGGGTAACCATTCTCGCCTTTGACTCATCAGTGTCACAGTGTTCAGCTTCACAGCAACCACGAGTTACCTCTATACAGCAAGTGGACATATCGGGGTTACACAACCTAAAAGAATGTTTCACCAAAAACAATCAAAGGCAGGCCTGAGGGCCACGGAGTAGAGTCACCCACCTTTGGCTTGGGAGCATGGCTTTCTGTCCACTAGGCCAACTGCTTTCTCTCTCTACACTGTTGGTGGTGGTGGTGTTGTTCAGTGCCGTCGAGTCGTAGGTGACTCATAGCAACCCTGTGAATGAAAGTCAGTTCATTATCGGGGGGGAAAATAAGCTCTTATACTATCCAACCTGAGGTCTCTGAGTGGTACAAAGAATTGGCAGTTCAAAAACAAAAACATACACACAAAAAAAACAGTGTACCACAGGGGAAAGGTCTGGCAACCTATTTCCCGCGTGATCCCCGTCAAAAAGGCTCTGTAAAGCGTAGGGTCACCATGTGTCAGTCCACTCAATGACAGCAGGTTTGGTTGGTGTTTTTGCTTGTTTTACCATCCAGGAGAAAAGCCTGGTGAGATACTCCTTTCTGTGTCTCAACGCTAACCAGAAGCTCAATGGTTCAAATCCATCCACTACCCCAAGGGAGAAAGAGAAGCCGTTTCCTCTCATTGCACCCTTGAATAGACACATAATACGATGTTGTGTGCCATTGAGTCAGAACCGACCCACAGCTGACCCTCCAGCAGGTTTTCAGAAGCAGTAAATCTCAGGGGAAGAGAATGACCATCTTTCTCCCACAGAGCAGCTGGTGAGGTTGAACCACATGCCTTTGGAATTGCAGTGCAGCTTGTTACTGCTAGGCTACCAGAGTTCCCTTAAGATGAGTGAAGGGAAAAGCAGTACACAATAAGTGTGACCAGCACACTAGCCCTCAGGAAAAGGAAGGTACCGAGAGGTATAGAAGGATTAATGGAAAGTAGAATCACAGGGAAGAAGTGGGGAGAGTGCATTCATAGAGGGTTTAGAGATGAGGGTTATAGAACAAAATATGTATGAACAGTTGGATGCAAAATCACTTTTTCTTGGAATTTTCACTCAAACTATGAATTTTTAAAAAGAAGAAGGAATGTAGAGCCTCAGAAGCCCAGTGAGGATCACTGAGAGTGAGAATTGACCAGCAGGAGGGGTGGGGATTCAGCACCATTGTGGACTTAACAGATTCAGTTTGATGCCGACCACATGAAAACTCAAATGTAAAACAAATGTTATGCACAGTGGTTTGAAAGGCCTGGGGTTCACTGGCTCAAGCCTTTCTGTTAGGAATTTCAACTCACACTACTTTTGCTCTGCTTTGAACTTTTCTCTTTAAAGCTCTCTCTGCA